GGTGTGCGTGAGTGCGCGCGCGCGTGTGTGTGTGTGTGTGTGGTGTGTGTGTGTGTGTGTGTGTGTGTGTGTGTGTATGGTGTGTGATCTCTTCTCTACTTTTCGCCGCGAGGATGAGAAGCGGTACTCGACCATTTATGGTGGTTAGCGTCGAGTGCAAGGCATGCACTTTGAAATTGAGAGATCGACTGTCTGCTTAGCCATTTTAAAGGAAAGGAAGGACCTGTTACACACACGCATATGACTACACAATACATTTATGTACATTTCATATATATTTATATAATAATCAATGTCAACATAATATAAATGTGTAAATATTGGTTATTTATATAACCAATATGTATAAGTACGTTATACAAGCCCTTGTAAATAATTTTTATATATCAATTTTGATTATTAATAAATTCTGCGTTAAAAGAAAAATGTTTTATCGGTAAATTTTGAAAATTTAATTTCTCTTACTTTTATACGCATATATTTCATTTCAAAAAAATATGCTATCTATAAAAATAAATCGAAAATAACTTTCTTTAATCGAATAGTTTTAATTTCTTTTATATATGATTAATTTTAAATAAACTTAACAAGAATCGAATAATAATAGAATTAAAGTTAGAGAATTAAAATTATATAATTAATTTTAAATTGCTAATTAATTGTTTTTTTGAAGAATTTCTGTTCTTATATGTTCATAATTTTTAAGATATTTTTGAAATGGTTAAATCATTGAATACATGTTTTTCAGTGATTGATCATTAATTATATTTAAATGCTTGCCTGACGTATGCGAGTGTCGCGTGCAATCGTCGTTTACACTAAGGTAGGCATTCTACGCAAATCCTTGGAGTATTAAAATTTATTATGCAGACATCAAGCATAATCGCAAATATCTGCGCCTTATTATGTTACCGGTATATTTTATCCGGTCCAGGGAAGCAACGTGGGGAAAAGACCTTGAATCTTTAAGATTAAATGCGCAGCGATCTCTTTATTTCGCTTTCAATATCTTCTCAGAGCGAAAAAAAATCGTTACTCTTGATTTTCCGCATGAATAATTTGTTTTTTGAATGTAGCACTATTATCATCAAGTTTAATGTGCACAGTTTATTTGTTTGAACCTGACTATCTTTGTATGGCGTCCATGACTTTAAGTATTATATGGATATTAATCTGACTTTATAACACATGTATGGCTTTTCCACTTCTTGTTTTTTGAAGTTTATGGTTATAGCTCGTTACGGTTTGCTCGTTTGTAGCGCGAAACGTTTCGTATCTCGTTTTTAACTGCTAATAGCCATGATCTCTTTAACAATCTTTTTTAAACAAAAGTAAACCAGAAAGCATATCCCGTGATTCTCTAGTTCTTATCGAAGAATGTAATTCATCGCTTGAAATGTAAAAAAAAATATTATTAACGGGATCATTTTTATTATTAATTACTTATTATTATTATTATTATTATTAAAAATATTAGTATTTTTCTCGATGAATTTTTACACTGAAAAATTAACTTAACATAACATTATAGCATTCTCATTTCTCCCACAGCTCTCAATTGTATTGTTCGTAAACATATTCACTGATTAAATAACTAGGAAGTGATTAATCAAATCTGTGTCAAAGACTCCGCTGCTGATAAATTACAAATTGACGCGTAATGTGATACCGATACATCGGCAATAATTTGTAATGTAATAAATATAGAAAATGCAAGATAAAAGATAAACATGAAAGATTGTCAACATCAGAGATTCTTATCGCAAAACTTACACTTGATATATATATATAGCCGTAATATCAAATTCGAATGCCCTCGTACTAGTATTTTATTCATATCAGTATACATTTTTTTCTAGCAGATACTTTGAATGACAATACGTGCCACGGCGCCAATCGTTTTTTCCGCAATGCACTCGATGACGTGCAATGCTACCGTAATAGTTAAGTAATCCTCTTATAAATCATGCTAGAAACATGCTGATGTGTATTGCGGAAGTATAATAGGAGAGATTTATTCACACGTTTATGCGAAGGACGTCGGGCACTGCTCGACACCTATCGGGCAATCAGAGATTATCTCGCCTACGCTATCGCTATTTCCATATAAACAATGCTTAGAATATTTTAATAGTTACGATCGCAAATGAGACATTTTTATAAATATGCGCTTAATGATGTAAGCTCCCTGGAATTGTTATAATTCGATGCGTATTACATTTAAAATTAAAAAACGTTGATGTGTATTATTATATATAAAAAAAAAAAGAGTTCAAATTTGGATAATGTAAAAATTATGTGACATAATTAAATTAATTAATTTTGATTGTTTAACTTACGTTTAATAGTGAATAAAGAATTCAAGGTTAGGCTACTTTGCCACTTGTATGTTTGTTGTTGTAATTAAAAATTGTAATTAAAAAAAAAGCGAAAGTTAAATTTAAGTAGAGTGCCATTAAGCTATAAATGTCCACGTGTTCGCGCGTATGTCACGTTGCCGTAGTTGCCCGGGTCGTAGAAAAGGTGTTCTGCTCTCGCCTATTGCAAGATCGTTGGCAACATGCAGCTGTGTCGTAATAATTTTCCGGTGGTAATCGAGACGAGACTGCAAATGCATGATCAAATAGAAAGCGCATAGTTATACCGTGTTCCTATATTCTACATTGTTTTACACTTAGCAAATGCGACATACAGTTATATATTATGTCTGTCAGACATGTTAGACGTGGTACTCGTGTTAGCGTAAGTAAACTATTATTAGTTTCCCATATCGATAACGTTACAGGCCGCGATATCAAACATATTGAGAAAAGAGTACATTTAACAAAAATAAATGACAAAGATAATAATTAATTCGATGAAATTAGATATACCGAAAGTCGTAAGTGTCAGCTTCTATCTGTGTATTTATTCAGTTAATTAACCGGTAATATCACTTAGCTCTAGCGGGCATTAATTAAAAAGAAATGAAAAGTACGTAAATTGGGTAGTAGCTCGCGCGAGTAATTCCCTGCCGATTCGCGGTGGTATTTTGATTTTGCGCAACATAAGTAGTCGCCGGTAGTTTACCCCTCGTGGTTTTCGCTGCGACTAAACGTAATCTGAGAAAGCGACGAGCGAGTTTCTCTCGCGCATTTTACTCGCCGAGTTGCCTCACGTACTACCATTTGCAATGAAAATCAATTTGACAATTCCGCGGAGTTAGTTGTCGCCGGATTTTGCTGCGGTTGATTTATCTACGCGGTTTTGTGGCAAAGCGCGCTGCGTTTCGCGAGCTGGTCCAGTCGCGTTCCGTTTATCTCTCGCATTCCTCTGTCGGGCCGCAATCTTCGTCATCGGACGCGTTTCGTACCAATCGCATTTTTTCTCGACACTCTTTCTTCTGCGACTTTGGGTCTTTATGTAACATCAATAAATCCATAAACGGTACGGTAATGGCAATAGGTGCGAGAGCACGGTTTGCATAACTGTCGTGTCCGACCGTTTTAAGAGCGCCAGGTTCCTTATCGCTCCTGAAACGCTGATTTCGATGCCCACGGGCCATTTAATGATCGATGGAAAATTCACGCGTTTCACTTGTTCATTTATATACGTGACAACGTGTACACGTCTTTTTCAGAATGTCACTTTATCCCGTTTCTATCTAAAAGAGAAAAAAATCGTCGTGTTTGTATATGTGTATTTGCGTAGGAAAGATCCAAGTCGATATGTTTTACGATGTGATATAATATTTTGAAAAAAAAACCTTGATAAAAAGTAAAGCAATGACAAAATTTTTATTTTAAATTATAATAAAACACTTCAAAATACCTATCTATCTGTTCAATTATTTTTGAAAATGAGTTTTAACCTGATTGTGATTTAATGCGACTTCTTTTTTTAATTAATTGACTTTATTAAAGCCATTATGCAATTGTGTTGCCTACAGACATCGAACTAATTCGCAATTTTCAAATTGCTAACCGTGAAACAATTATGGAAACTAATAAGATAGTCATTAAAGTGATTTAAATTACGTTTAATAGTACATTCGCACTGATTGCGACGAAGAAACGCTCTGGAAATTTCTGTTGATTTCTGTCATTTTG